GTTGGGATGATGATGATGATGATGATGATGATGATGAGGATGAGGATGAGGATGAGGATGAGGATGAGGATGAGGATGAGGATGAGGATGAGGATGAGGATGAGGATGAGGAGGATGAGGATGAGGAGGATGAGGATGAGGATGATGATGATGATGATGATGATGAAGATTGATGATGATGATGATGATGATGATGATGATGATGATGATGATGATGATGATGATGATGATGATGATGATGATGATGATGATGATGATGATGATGATGATGATGATGATGATGATGATGATGATGATGATGATGATGATGATGAGGGAGGAGGAGGAGGAGGAGGAGGAGGAGGAGGAGGCGGAGGAAGGCGAGTGCTCTGAGAGACGGAGTGCGACTTTTGAAGGCCGCTCCCCTCGCCCTGCCCCCGTTTGCGCGCCGCCGGCGTCCTGTGGCCGCGCAGGATCCGGCAGGACGTGCTGTCCCTGTGTCAGCACTGCATCAATTTCCACCCCTCCCGAGGGAGAAAAAGCTACATAAACATACATTTTGGACGGTCCGCGCGGATTTTATTGGATCTGCGCTGGAGTCCCCTGGTGGCGCCTGCAGCGCCGCCACCGGCGCGCTCCGCGCGCCAGGAAGGGGTCCAGCGCAGATCTAAGAAATCCATGGGGACCGTCGAAAGTTTATGTTTATCCAGTTTTTTCTTCCTCTACTCTCCCTGTTGCCCCGCCATCGCGGCTCCCTGACGCAATTCTGGGCGATATTCGAGGGCGACGCGGAGGCAGGCGCTACGTGCCACAGGATGGTGTACGACTTTGATGCGGGTAGAATCCTTGACCAGGAGGCTGTGCCAATCGCACCGGGCGAGACAGCGTTGTCGCTCAGCGTCAAGATCGCTGCGGCCGCCGAGCTGTGCTTCCGGCGCGTATTCGGCACCTTCCTGGACACAGGCGGGCTGCCCGAGGGGCGCTTGTGGGACGTCCAGGAGTTCCCGTACCACTTCCGCAAGCTTCCACGCGGTGGTGTCATCGACCCAGAGTGGCCCGACGATAAGGTGGAGCGCTTCGTTCGGGCGATGTACTTCCCGCCGCACGCGCCGGCCACGTTGGTGCGGCCGGATGGACTGGAGTACCCTGTGAGGACGATGGAGGAGTACGCTGCAGCCCGCGAGGGCCGCGCTGTCCGGGGCACCTCCACCTCTTCTGGCGCAGCGCCGGCCAGGCCGGCCCCAGCTTGCGACCCCCATCAGGCAAGCTGCGCCCCAGGTGGCACCAGGCCGCGAGCACGAGGCCCGTGGTTGCCCAGCGGGGGGGGCGCGGTGGGCTTGCTCGCGGCCGCGCTGGTGCTGCTGGCTGCGCTGGTGAGCGTGCCGCGAGGTGCCGGCTCCGAGCGGCAAGCTGGCAGCGCTGGCAGCAGCGCCGTCGGGCGGCCTCCCCCGGCGCCGGCCGCGCGCCACACGCTGGAGGCGCATCCACGGGCGCGGTGCCTGGACGGCTCCCCTGCCGCATTCTACCTCGCGCCAGCCACGAGCGCCGAGGGCCGGGGGAGGTGGGTGGTGTACCTGCAGGGCGGCGGTTGGTGCGCCGAGTCTGCGGAGCTCGCGGGCCTGCCAGGCTACAGTCACGCGGACGATGTGGGGCATCCCGACCTGTGCTCTCGCAGGGCGAAGGGCTACCTCGGCAGCTCCCGCTTCGACTGGGCGTCCCGGAGCCTGGAAGGTAAAGGCTTCCTGTCCGGCGATCCCACCGAGAATCCGTCGATGCACAGCTGGAATCGGGTGGTCATTCGGAATTGTGATGGCACGCTCTTCCTCAGCAGCCTCGACGAGCCAATGCAGCTCCCAGGAGGCGGCGCGCTGTACTTCCGCGGGCGCGACAACGCCTTCGCCGTGGTGGACGCACTGCTAGAGAGGCACGGCATGGACAGCGCCTCGGAGGTTGTGATCAGCGGCTGTAGCGCTGGCGGCGTCGCCGCGGTGCTTCTCGCGGATGCGCTGCGAAGGCGCGTCGAGGAGCGTGCCCGCGCCGGCCGTCCCTTCGTGGCCGTGCTGTCGGACAGCGGCGTGTTCCCAGGTCCCGGCCCAGTGGGTAGCAGCGCGGCGCCCGAGGGGCTTCTGAGGTTTCCACAGTTCCAGTGGCTCTTCGAGCGCACGAACCTGTCGGGGAGCCTTCCGCCTCCGTGCACGTCCGAGGAGGCCCCGTGGGGCTGCCTGCACGTCCTGGGCGCGCTGCCCCACGTGGCGACCCCCGTGTTCCTGCTGCAGAGCCTGGCGGACTCCTGGCAGCTCAGCGAGCCTGCCGGGCCCGCACAGGCCGCGTTTGCGGCGGGCCTGCGCCAGCAGTTCGCCCTCGCGCTGCGCTGGCCGCACGCGGCCGCGGTCGACAGCTGCTTCCACCACGGGGGCGCGTGGGGCCGGATCGGCTGGGGCGGCGTGACCAACCGCGACGCCTTCTGGCGATGGTACACCACGGGGCGCGAGCGCTGGGTGGCGAATTCCAGCAGCTCCGCCGGGCCTGGAGAGTACGCAGCCGAAGGCTGGCCCCTGGTCCACGCCGCGAACGCCCCGGCACCCGACTGCTACGAGGGCCAGGACTGCTCGGGGCGCATGCAACGGGGGTAAGCTCTATCGAGGGCAAGCCCATCCCATTCGATCCCCGCTGTCGGGAAATCGGAAGACTCGAGTAAGCAGGAACTCGGGTTTGTCGACGTTTTTTGACGAGCGCGTCCTGGATTTTGCGGTCTGGTTTTCGTGAGATGTTTGCAGCGGGAGCTCGCTTCCAGTTTTAGATCCGTTCTCGTCATTTTCAGGATGGCCCCGCCAGGCCAATCCGAGACCCCTGTGCCCGAGTCTTACTTCTCCCCGACTCTGGCTGACCCAGGTTCGGTAGCCGCGTGGAGCCGCTTGGGAGCTGCTCCTCCTCCTCCTCCTCCTCCTCCTCCTCCTCCTCCTCCTCCTCCTCCCTCGGCTGCCCAGGCTTTGGGAGTTGCTCCGTGGCCGGCCAGGTCTTGAGGCATGGCGCCGGCGGACCCAGGGGCCAGCGCTGACCCGGGCCAGCGCGCTCCCGAAGCGTCTGCGTCCGAGAGGGGCGCCCAGGGCGGCGGGGGGGGGGCCTTCTGCTAAGCAGGCACAGGGCCGTCTCGGGAGGGAGCGGCCGCTCTCAAAACAGGACGCCCCCACGCCTTCCAGCTCCCCCAGAGGTCTCTGGAGCCCTTCAGGGGGCCTCGAGAGGACCCCGGGCCGACAGCGAAGGAGAGACGCTCAGAGGGGTCGATCCTCGCACCTCGATCCTCGAGGCACGCCTCCTCTACGAGGGCGGGGGGGTCATTTTACAAGGCCCCACTTTCAGGGTCCATTCCGATCCGATCGATCCGATTCGATGTCAATTTCGGCCGGCCCGATCCGACTCGACTCCGATCTGCCAACGATCCGATGCGGCCCGACCCTTGCACGGCGCTGTTGTGTGTCCTCTCGCAGCCGATCCGATCCGATTTCGATCCCGCGCCGATGCGGCCCCATCCGATGCACACTTCGCTTCGAGCGGATCTGTCGGTTCGATGCTGACTGGTCCTGCCTCGCCTTGCCCCCCTTCCGCCGCCCCCCTGGCAGCAGGAGCGCCACCAGGAGTGGCACCGCTCCCTGGCTCGCCTGCCCGCCAGGCCGGACGGCTGAGCCCGCGGGCATCCCGTCGGACGCCGCGGGGGCGGGGCGTGGCGTCACGCGCGCGTGCCGTGCAGAGGTCGGGGGGCCCTGCGCCTCGTCGACGTCTCCGGACCCCCTCGCGTCATGTAAAGGCTGCGCCGGAAGGTTTTGACCCAGGAGGAGGAGGAGGAGGAGGAGGAGGAGAAGGAGGAGGAGGAGGAGGGAGGGAGGGAGGGGAGGGAGGGAGGGAGGGAGGGAGGAGGGAGGAGGAGGAGGAGGAGGAGGAGGAGGAGGAGGAGGAGGAGGAGGAGGGAGGGAGGAGGAGGGGAGGAGGATGAGGAGGAGGAGGAGGAGGAGGAGGAGGGCCCTGGGGTCGTCAGGAAACGATCCGGGATGCAAAGCTGGTCTCGGCCAAGACGTCGGGATTTGGGGGGGGCCGCGCCGGGAAGACCTCGCGACGCCAGGGTGGCCTGGGTCCTCGTTTTGCCTTCGTCGTCCCTCCCTCCTCTTCCTCGCTCCCACTCTCCTGCGTTTCCTACTTCACCCCTCCCCTCCCACCTTTCTTTTTTCTTCCCTTTCCTTATCCTTCCTCCTCTCCTACCCCCCTGTCTCCTCTCCCTGCTGCTGCTGCTGCTGCTCCTCCTCCTCCTCCTCCTCCCTCCTCCTCCTCTTCCTCCTCCTACTCCTCCTCCTCTTCTTCCTCCTCCTCCTCCTCCTCCTCCTCCTCCTCCTCCTCCCTCCCACATCCTTCCTCATCCTTCCTCCTCATCCCTCCTCCCGCCCTCGTTCCTCACTCCCTCCATTGTCGTGGAGCTACTGAGCAGAGTTCGGGCGGAGCTGGTTGAGACGTGGAGTTCAGGCACCTGTTTCCCTCCTTTCCCCCCCCTCCTCATTCCCCTCCCTTCCAAGAGGAAGGACGGATGATGTCCCATGGATAATGGGAAGGGACAACCGGAGGAGAGATGAGAGAGGAGTTGCAATTTTCACCGCCTGGGCAAGACCAGGAGCATCAATTGGATCGCACATTGTCAAGTCAAACCGCACTAGGTGAATGAGCTTGACTGCGGGCTTCCTCGATTCCACTACGTCCCGATCACTCCTCTCCAGTGCTGCAACACACAGCGCATCCACCGTCTGCCCACACCTGTCGCTGCCTGGGGGATGAGGGAAGGAGACGAGGAGGAAGAGGAGGTGTAGGAAGCATGCCCCCCCACAGACAACGACGACCCCGAACCTTCGACCCCATGACCCAGAACCTACAAACCCAGGGTTCGTGGGTTGACGAACCAGGTCCCCGTGGATTGAATTAGGCATGGCGCGGCACGACACACGATCACGTCACGGCACCGCACGCGGGCGGCAATCTTTTCCATTCCAAAAACCAGGCACGGCACTTCACGACACGGCATGCGGGCGGTAGGATGTCACCACCTTGCGACATACATCCCTTCCAGAGACAAGCTTCTGGCGGGAGTTCTTACCGACAATTTTGAGACACGTGAGAACAATAGAACTGTTTTCATCTACTAGGACCGCAGCTCATGTGCCTGGCAGCAGGGGGAGCACGCGCGCGAAAGAACGGTTGTGCATATACGGTCCCCCCTCCAGCGACTCCCCAGAGCGCCCAAAGCACGAAACCGCGGTAAACACTGCCGTCCTCCTTTTCTTTCTCCGTCTGCTCTCCTTCTCCTTTCCTCCCTCTCCTCCTCTTCCGCTTTCACGATTTTCCTCATCCGTCTCCGTCTTCTGCGTTTCTCCCCCTTCCCCATTTTCTTTCTTCCCCCTCGTGGCAAAGCAAAGAAACAAGCAATCGCAGAGTTAGGCGCCCTCGGTGCCACGAAACATTTTTTTGTTTTTATTGTTTTTGTTGTTGTGTGTTTTTTGTCTGCGAAACCACCAAACACTGTGTTTTTTTGTGTTGTTTTTTTGCTTGGGAAGCCTTTGCGCTCCCCCCTCCCCCCCTCCCCAAGCACACCTCTCTGAACCTCCAAGACAAAAAAAAACAACCCCCACAAACAAACACTACACCGTGTTTGGTGGTTTCCCAAACCAAAGAAACCCCCAAACCAAAAACCAACACAATGTTTCGTGGCACCGATGGCGCCACACAGTTCGTTTCATTATTTTATTATTATGTAGTCCGTAAGAAGGGAGAAAAAGAAAAGGCGAATGATGAAACCTGATACCAGATGGTATCGGGCCCGATAGGGGGCGCGTCTCGCCTGGTCAGTGAGCAGTCTGCCCCCCTTTGCCTGCCCCTACGAAAGTTCATCGATGTGGGCCAGCGCACAGCCGCCATCCTGCCTGTGACGCCCGATCCCTGCCCAACCAGGAAACGAAGAACGAGAGGAAGGCGGAGGAAGATGCTGAATGGAGACGGATAGCGAGGATGACAAGGAGATACACGCAATATTCTTCTAATCGGAACTCGGCGAGCGCATGCGCTCATAATCGTTTCATATCGCACCCATGCCTGAACACGCCTGCTCGCCTACGCGGACATGACGGCTGCGGGCAACAGCAGTGGCAAGAGGCAACGAAGGGATGGGGCACCCGAAAGGCAGCAACAACCATGACGTCACCATCGTGGCGTTAATTCACTGTGGTGCTCCGGGGGGGCATCCAAAAAATGGATCCCCCTCTCGCCCTGTTCCTCCGCCTCCTCCTCTTCCTCCTCGCTCCGTCGCAGAGGGCGTGTTGTGAATGTTGTCAGACGGAATGCTCCATTCCTCATCCTCCCTCCCTCCTTCCTGCACAAGGAGCAAGGAGGACGAGGAGGAGGGAGGAGGATCAAGAGGGATGACGAATGATGGAGGGTGGGAGGGAGGATGATGAGGGAGGACCGTGGGAGGGGGAGGATGGGGAGAGGGGGGAAGGAAACGAGGAGGATGGGAAGGACGGAGGGAGGATGACGATGCGGAAGGACGGAAGGAGGAACGGGATGAGGATGACTCAATCGAAGCTCTGGCGCTCTGGGGGGGGAGCACACCTCTCTGAGGGGCATTCAAAAAATGAATCCCCTTCCCGTCCCGTTCCTCTTCCTCCTACTCTTCCTCCTCCTCGCTCCGTCGCAGAGGACATGTTGTGAATGTTGCCAGAAGAGATGATCCATTACGCATCCTGCCTCCCTCCTTCCTCCTCCTTCCCTCCTCCCTCCCTCCCTCCTCATCCGAAGCCCAAGAGGGAATTTTCCTCTGCCACAAAAGGATTGCGCGGAGGATCTTCCGCAATAGGAATCAATTTAAGGAGGCTCCTCCACATAAGGATTGTGTGGAGGATCTTCCACAAGAGGAATCAATTTATGGAGGCTCCTCCGCACAGACAGAATCAATATGCACATTCCACACAAGGAGCAAGGAGGACGAGGAGGAGGGAGGAGGATAAGGAGGGAGGACGAAGGATGGAGGGTGGGAGGGAGGACGATGAGGAGGGAGGAACAACGGAGGGGGAGGATGGGGAGAGGGGAGAAAGAACGGAGGAGGACGGGAAGGACGGAGGGAGGATGACGATGCGGAAGGACGGAAGGAGGAGCGGGAGGAGGATGGCTCAATCGAAGCTCTGGGGGGGTCGCTGGGGGGGGGACGAAGCACATATGTATGTATGTATGTATGTATGTATGTATGTATGTATGTATGTATGTATGTATGTATGTATGTATGTATGTATGTATGTATGTATGTATATATATGTATATATATTCATACATATATACATATATATCGTCAACTTATGTGTATGGGTCTTACATCGTTCGAGAAATTCGCCGCATCACGCAGGAGGTCTTTTTCATTCTATGGGCGAATGATGCCCTGAAGATGCTTGCTTGGACATGCTTTGACCCGGGTATGGGTTACAGAAAGTGAGAGCCTGGATATTGCATTTGTGAAAGAATGTGGCCAGATACGAAGGCCATTCCATGCTCGGGGCATCACCTCTGTCGGCCAGGCGTTGTATTGTGTTTCATGTTCGTGTGTCATATACGCATCAGCACCGCCTGCAGCGCGCGACGACGAGTCCAGGCCAGCATGGAAATTGAGTTCCAGGCAACAGCCACAAGTAACTGGCATGGGGAACGACTCGCTGGACCATTCTCGAGTGGCCGCAGTATCGCGGGAGCCTGTCGGGTATCCCCTACAACGAGACCATCAACATGGGGATGAGGAAGAATGCTTAGCAGGCCAACCATACCACTAAGTAGGACGATGATGAGCGACACCGAATCTCGTATGCCAAGAGAGATGCGGCTCGTACTTCGCCAACCATGTTCACGGGCTTGTTGTTGTTGTTGTGGTTGTGGTTGTGGTTGTTGTTGTTGTTGTTGTTGTTGTTGTGGTTGTTGTTGTTGTTGTTGTTGTTGTTGTTGCTGTTGCTGCTGCTGCTGCTGCTGCTGCTGCTGCTGCTGTTGTTGTTGTTGTTGTTGTTGTTGTTGTTGTTGTTGTTGTTGTTGTTGTTGTTGTTGTTGTTGTTGTTGTTGTTGTTGTTGCTGCTGCTGTTGTTGTTGTTGTTGTTGTGGTTGTGGTTGTTGTTGTGGTTGTGGTTGTGGTTGTTGTTGTTGTTGTTGTTGTTGTTGTTGTTGTTGTTGTTGTTGTTGTTGTTGTTGTTGTTGTTGTTGTTGGTGTTGGTGTTGTTGTTGTTGTTGTTGTTGTTGTTGTTGTTGTTGTTGTTGTTGTTGTTGTTGTTGTGGTGTGTGTGTTTGCCCCTCGGAGTAGGCGCGTTTTACTTTTAGCGATGGCACCGTTGGGGTTTTGTGGGACGGCCCCGTGGGGCCACCTCGGGCCTTCCCCTCCCCGCTCCTGCCTTCCCTCTTCCGTCTTCCGCGGATCGAGGTGAGGATGGGGTTGAGTTTCCGCCCGCTGCGTGGCATGTGTGGTTCGTTCGTGAGGCGGAAGAGTTAAACGGTGCGCGCGGCCGTTGCCCGCGCTCCCTCTTCTTCATTGCTCCCTTGTTTCAAACGGTATGACGAAGTGCGTATCTAACGAACGGAGACCGCCTCCACAGGCGAGCCGAGGCCATTAAATACCGAGGGCAGGAGTATGGGGCTGGGGCTTATGCTGCCGAGGCCGCATAGTCTAGGGCCCCCTTGCCTTTCGGGCCAAGGGCGGCAAGTCCCACCTTGTGTTGTGGAGCAGCAATTTGCCAGACCGCAATCTTGGCTG